TTCTACCGGAAGCCAGGGGCAGGGGAGAAAAACGCCAGACGTTCTGGGTACAAAATAATGAAAACATGCTTTCAGTTGCACTTACTGATTTTGTGCTGTTTTTCAGAAAGTTGCTATATAAATGCTTAATGCGCACTTTTCCAAAATAAATTTTATGGGGAGGGGAAATCCATCAAGTAATGGCATAATGGTATTGGCCCGCCAGCCCGCACCACTTTAGGAGAAGCTCCGGATGAGAAACTATATATACAACAAATAGTGGGTTTTAATACTACCATTTTGGCTATCGTCGTCGCGTTGCCGTCCTAAAATCGTAAGGTCTCTAATAACCCCTCCGTGCGATCGTTAAATCACTTGCCGTTAGATGCCTCTATATATACACCCTTCAGTTACTGCTTCGCCCTTTCAGAGAGATTACGACATGCAATCTTGGTTCATTTATTTGTTTGAGAATAAGTTTCACTTTCACTTAAAGTGCTTATGAAACGAAATTTTCACCTCATTTTTTATTGTTTTGCTAAAAAGTACTGCTAGAGCGATGAGGAATGACGTTTCCAGTTTCTTCATATCTCATCTCATTCTCAAGTTATCGCACTTTCTAAATTTTGAGTTGTGACGTCACTAGTTTGACTTGAGATAATGGCAATAACAAGAACGTCTGATATCTTAGTGAGTATTTAATAAAATTCAATGAAGCTCGGTACAGTTAGTGGGTGCGCCAATATGAATATTTTTGGTAGGTCACATGGTTGTCATGGCAACACACTAGTCCCCAGTCTCTTCTCTTCCTTTTCACAAATTTCCTCCTGTAGACCTCTTGCAGAGGATGTTTGCGTGTTATAACAGTTTAAACTGATCACAATGCCTACACGTATTATAGTAATAAGCAAAAATTGCAGAAATTACTATTTATTTCGTTGGAAATTGATCATACAGAAATTGGAAGAGAACGGACTGGAGACGAGTGTGTTGCCATAACAACCATATAAACAAGCCAAATTGTTCACTTCGTTGCACCCACTAAGTGTGCCGAGTTTCATTGAATTTTATTAAATTATCGTCAAGATATCAGATTTTCTTGTTATTGCCACTATTTTGAGTCAAACTAGTGACGTCACAACTCAAAATATAGAAAGAGCGATAACTTGGGAATGAGATGAGATACGAACAAACTGTAAACGTCATTCTTCATCATTTAAGCAGTACCTTTAAATAAGACAATAAAAAATGAGGCAAAAATTTCGTTTCATAAGCACTTTAAGCTAACCCAGCTTTGAACAACCGGCCCCTGGTTATTAAATTAACCAGACTATATCAGGTGGATAAATAACTTTGATATAGGAAGTGAGATAAAATACTAGGAAATGAAACTAGGAATATAAAGTTAGGGCATTTTGAACAGAATGTTTTTGAGTGTGATGCAAAAAAAAGTTCATTGGACAGCTAAATGCCTGATTTTTTGTTGCTGTATACAAATTTTATCGATAAACTCGATATCTAACGACAACATTTAACAACATAATATATATAATTGTTTTTGTTTGTGGAAACACCACGTAAATTTATTACTGCATACAGTAAGTAAATTAAATTACAGTAAGTAAATCAATTGCAGTAATAAATTTACGTGGTGTTTCCACAAACAAAAACAATTATATTTTATCGCCATGCAAACATTCAAAGAACTTATAATATATATAGCTGACTTTGGTGTTTTTTCTTGTTAAACCTTACCTAAGTTCACTTTTCGGACAGAAAATCATTGACTAACAACAATCTTGTCCTGAACAACAATCTTACTTACACGTCTGACTTCTCGGTAAAGATCAAATCTCTGATGGACTCCACCGACATCCATTTTAACGGGACAAATCCCTGGAAAACAAGCAAGTTAAATTTCTATACATACTGTTTTACGTGAACAAAAAGTATCATTAGTAACATTATGTTTGTATGTAAATGTGTTAAATTGTGCATGTAACCGAAAGACTATATATATAGTTTCATAATTATTCTGAAACTGCAGAGAACAACGAAAATTCGTCGTCCTGAGCAGGATTCGAACTCGCGTCTTCGGGTTTTTATACCTCCGCTTGCCCTTTCCATGCATAAATTAAATCCTTAGTTTTGGGGATTAGATTTATGCAAATTTGGCATTATAAATTCGTTCGCACTACCAAAATTTGGAACATATTTTATCGTATGCATGTTATGATGATGATGATAAACTTTATTTATAACCACGCCAACATTGTCAGCAAAAGCTGGTTTCCACAATGGGCGTGTAAAAAACATTAACAAATTGTTACAAATAAAATAATATCGTTTATACATTGTTCTTAGTTTTTAAAGCTTTTTTATTGTTCTGGCAGTCAAAATATATGTGATTTTGAATGACTTCTAAAGCCCTGGTTCCACGAGCCCTTTTTGTCAGCGAAATGCGAAATATTTCGCCTGTTTCTTTTGAATTGCGACCACTCGAATAAATTATTTCTACTTGATTGCTCACAATTCAAAAGAAACAGGCGAAATATTTCGCATTTCGCTGACAAAAAGCGCTCGTGGAATCAGGCCTTAACGGGATGATTTGATGCGTGGCGAAACCGGAATTTTATACTTTCGTGGTCACAGTACATGCATGTGGGCATAAAAATGTTAAAATTCACCCAAACACTAACGATTTATATATATTTGAAATCGCTGAAACATGGCACTTTTAAATATGTTTGAATGAATTTCATACATGCAGATGCAGTATTTCAGTAATTACGATCGAGTTAACGTGTATTATAGGACATATTATACAATACAACAAATATAATTGTAAG